GATTCGTGCGCCTATAATAGAGAGAGGTCTCTCAGTCCTTTCTACCATGTGAAGACACAGTGAGAAAATAGCCATTTGTGAAGGAGAAAGCAAGTTCTCACCAGACATCAAATCTGCTGGTACCTTGATCTTGGACTTCCCAGCCTCCAGAACTGTGAGCAATACTTTTCTGTTGTTTGCAAGCCACCAGTCAGCGGTATTCTGTTATAGTAGTCCAAATGGACTACGACAGCTCACGTACTCTACCTAGATACAGTAGTTATAAAAATTTTGCCATATTTGCTTCACTCATATGTGTGTGTGTGTGTGTGTGTGTGTGTGTGTGTGTATTTTTGAAAGTATGCTGCGGACACCATCACACTTCTCCCCTAAATACTTGGATGTGGATCTCTTAAGAACAAAGACAGTTTCCTACATAATCATAATACCATTATCACATCTAAGAAAATTAATAATGATTCTATAATATCACTTAATATCCAGCTGATAATTAAATGTTCCCAGTTACCCACAAAAATCTCTTTATTTTTTCAGACCAGGAGCCAACAATACATTTGGTTAGTGTCTTTTTTGGTATCTTAATTTAGTCTCCCACCACTTTTGTGCGTGTGTGTGTGACACTGGCTTTTTGAAGAAGGCAGACTTGTAGAATGATTCACATTCTGAATTTAACTGGTTATTTCTTTGAGGTATCTTTTAACTTGTACATGTGTGTTACATGCTGTTGAGTTGGTTCCAACTCCTGTTGACCCTATGAATGAGTCATATCTATAGTGTCCTGTTCTCAACTGCTATGCTCAGCTCCGATAGACTCAATCCATCTCATATTTGCTGTTCTTCTTTTCCTGCTGCCTTCTATTTTTCAACAAAAGCATTATTGTCTTTACAAAAGAATCATAGCTTCTCATGATGTAACTTAATTTGTATAGCATCCCCTATATTTCCTGTAAACTGGAAATTTAGTCGAGACCAGCACTGTCCAATAGAACTCTATAGTCATGGAAATGTTCTCTGTCTAAACTGATGCTGTCCAATACAGTAGCCGCTAGCCATACATGGCTATTGAGTACTTAAAATGTGACACTTAGGACTGAATTTTTAATTAATTAATTTAAATTAATTAAATTTAATTAAGGCTTTAAATTCACAAAGCAATTATTATTATCAACATTGTAAACCTCTTCTTTTCAAAGATTTCACAGAGAAAATAATAGAGATGGACTAAGTAGGGAAGTTTGCCTTCCCAGTAGAATGAAAGAAATAATAGAAGTTTTCCTTTTATTTTCATATTAATGAAAATTGCCTAATTATTGATTTCTTGTTATAACCAAATGTGAGAGGGAGAAATTTGAAGAGAAGAATTATCCTTTGTAAATCTTTTTATATTGAGATCATCTGTTGTATATAATAAGATATATAAAAAATAAATTTATATAATGAATTACTAAAGAATATCAGTATAAAGGATCATCTTAAAAATGATAAATTATATTTATAGGAATAAGTAAAGCTTATGAATATATAAACATGGTTCAAAAAATATGTAGGTGTTACTTTTTCATTTTTGGATAAGGAATGCCTTTTAAAAAATCTGATGGCATCAAAGAGCATGTAGCTACAGTTGGGAGAGATGTGAGTTTCATGGAGAACTGTACCTTGGCAGCTACCCTAAGTCTGCATGCTTTATGTGTGCCCATGAAACCAGGCAGTGACACCACTTACCTCAGCAAGCTGTGCAGTAGGCAGAGTTTCGGGGTAGAGGATGTTTGTCTCTGGTGTCTTCTCATTTCTTTCTGCCTCTTCTTTTTGTGGCACTGTTCAGTGGAAGCCTTAGGTATGCCAAAACTCATCTTCTCTTAATCCTGCCCTACACTGGTATCAGATCTTTACCTCCTTTACTGACTGACCTCATGGAAGTCTTAGGAGAAAGGTGTTCTGATTGAGCATGTTCATAGTGTATCACCCACACACTCCAACATGCCAGGGATATTTCCTGTTGAATAGCATATAGTTAATGTAAATGAACTTCTAATCGGTAGGATTCCAGAAAGTGAATTTCTCCTTCTTTCTAAGACTGGGCCACCTTTTTATATAATGTTAAAAATTATTTTAGTGTATTAAAAGCTAAAAAAAAAAAAGCCTTTCAACTGATTTTGTGAATTATACTACTTTATTTAGGGGCCTATAATAATTTTCAGGGCCTTTTAAGGATATTGATCTGTCATATATATTTGAAAATAAAGTGTTGTGACTGTATTGCCACTTGTCATATGGATAAAGAAGCTGAATAAATGTAGTTCAGGAATGTAAATATTAGTAATGCTGTGAAGACTGTGTTCTTCTCTCCCTCTTTCTGCCTCCCTACTCCCTGCATCAGCAGCTTTTATAGACGAGTCCCAGTTGGTTCCTAGAGCAGTTTTCCTTGGGTACTCTTTGCCCTTGTCTCAGGTTGAGTTCTGACCCTGAGACAGGGGTTCAAATATAAATCATTTTTTTACTTAATTTGAAAAGTGCAAGGAATGTTAGTAGGCAAGTGGGGATGTGAGACAGGGCAGCGCAAGTAACTTTATTAAGTATATTATTAAGCCAACTACTGAAGTTGGCACCTGAAGATTAATCTAATCTGACAGGGAAACTGGCAAATGGTTCAGAGCATTCAGGATATGCATAAACTGATGTCTGAGCTTCATTAATTAAGGACTGATGGGGAGGGGTACAGGTGTTGGGGGAATTAACCAAGTGCTCCTGTGGGCAGAGCGCTCCCCAGGTTCTGAGGAGCCTTAGGCACAGAGGCAGGGATACTGGTACTTAGGAGCACCCAGAAAGGTCACACGGACATGCATGGAGCACATTGCCTCCCACATTCAAGTACGAGGCATGGAGCTAGCATGTCGGAGAATTCAGGGAGGGTCCCCAAGCAGGGAGAGTCATCACCTGGTTTTGTCTCTCTTCTGCCTGAAATCCTTGAGTGCTCAGTCTTTTCAGGACAAAGCTCAAAGGCTGGTCTCTGCCTACATACCATCCCATAGCTTCAACCTTATGATCCACCCTCCACCTCTCTGCCACATGCACCCACTCACCCCTCCCCCCACTTATGTCTTCTCTCTCTCACATACAAATACAGGCATGAGCACATTTTTTGTCCCCAGCCTGTCTCCTTCTACCTTCTCCCTCCATCTCCATCTCTTCCTCCCATCTCTGCCCACTCCTCATTCTGTCTCCTCTCTGTACCTCTTGTTAACCTTCTACTCCTGTCTCCTCCATATCCCCTATCTTTTCCCCTCTCTTTTCCACCTCTGTGTCTTCCCATTGTCTTTCTATATATCTCCCACATATCTGTACATGCTCTCTTTTACACACACTTACACCTTCACTCACACACACCCACAGAACTTCAAACATGCTGAACAATTTGTATTTTCTTGAAAGCACTATATTATCTCCTATATCCTTCAACTAGAAGGCTTTCTTCCTCAATTCTGCCTTAGGTCTGTGTCATAATTATCTCAGCAAACACTACCTTCGTGGTATTATAATTCTGTATGCATCTGTTTTCCCATCTCACTGTGAGCTTATCATTTCATTGCTTAGTATCTGACCCAGAATGTGGCACATAATAAGTGCTCAGTAAGCATTGAGTCTCCCCACCTTGACTGAAAATTCTTCTGCATTTTTGTCTTGTTCTCTTATGAACCATGAACAACTATGTGAGAACTAATGTGATATTGATTACACTCTGTGTTATACCTTCCAGGGATATGCATTTGTGTTCAATAGCAGAGGCATTCTGAAGATATAATGTCTTTATTTAAAGATGTATTTCTTGTTGAAAATTTAGTCACTAGGTTATATGTGCCCATACGAGATAAAATATGAAAACACATCTTTTGAGCTCTCATTCAGTTTCTTCTAATCATGTGACAGCCACTGAAGGCAGAGCACGACCTTCAGCTTCCTAGGGGACAAAGTCTGTAGCAAATCCAATTTTTTATCAACCACAGTGTCTTGCCTGTTAATATGAACTAGTTGAATACATAAATGTTCCTCCATATCTTTTGGTAAAAGTCCAGCATCTGAGAGGAAGCCCAGAAAAAATAGCAGAAGAAAAACAAAAGTTGTGAATCTTAGTTCCATCTTTTATATTCACCTGAGAGTCAAGTCAGACAATTTATGTAACTCTCTGTATCCATTCTTGAATTCTCATATGATATCTTAAATGTCTGTTCAATTCTCTAACTGAGAATTACTGTATAATCCCAAAGACCAAAGAAGATAGGAAGGCTATGATAAAAAGGTGATGGTGGCACTTTTAGGCAAGTAGTAATTTGATGAGGGAATAGTGCAGGAATGTGAATGAGAATACAAAAGAAAAGAAGGAAACATAATGGAAAATGGGGCATGTTGTGAGCATGGAGAGATATCCAAGAGACCTGAAAGATGTGCCAGAACCTTCATCTTCTCTTCCCATGGCTGAAGATCATTATCATTAGATTTCATTAATTGAACAGATGTAAATTGTTTTTTGCAGAGTAAGGAAGTGAATAGAAAGATCCTCCTAAGTTTAGTTGGGCAACATCAAGCCCAGTGCTGTGAAGCAAAATAGTAACAAAGGAAGTTACCTCATGGGTTAATTCAATGCTCTTGAGTTTATTAAAACAGATTTACCCTAGGGGAGTTGAGGTATGCTGGAATTATCCTTAGAGAGGCCCTGGACCAGCATGCTACTGAGGCATGGGTAGTTTGACCCCTGAAGCAGCAAATCTGACTGTAAGGAATCTAGGCCACAGGGCAAGAAGAGAACGGGACCCAAGTCTGCACCAGAGATAAAGGATGTAGTGCAAGCCCTGATGTGTGGTGGAAACAGGAGAAACACATGGGACCTGATCAGAGAAGAAATAGGTAATAAAACATGAAAGACTGATGTTTAGAGAAATAGATGCAGATAGGGACACATACTCTGTTGTTTCATCAGACATTTTTAGCTGGGAAAATCTTGGGAAGATTCATCTATACAGTGTTTTCCAAATTTAAACTTTTAAACATAATAGAATCCTTTGTTTAAATACAGATAAAAGAGGAAATGGAACTAGATGGCCTTATGGCCCCTGCAGAGCATGATTGAAAACCCCTGCTCTCCAGCGTTCAGGACAAAGACTTAATGGATAAAAACCAAGTATTATAAAGGCAAAGAAAGAGAGCTGAGTAGTTTTTGGTGGAAATCTATGGTCATAGATAATGCAGAGTTAAAGTTTATATCAATTATGAATTTATCATAACTTTCTTGATTTTGAATACATTGTATAATTTTTACTTGACTCATTCACTTGGAACAGTACCTATAAGTTTAGTAAATTTTTCAGATACATCGAGGACAATCTAAATTGGACTCTTAAAGATACTTTCCTTAATGTTCTTTAATGAAGCCCTAATGCAATCAGCACTTTTTGCCTCAGCAAAATGAATTGAATACTTTCATGTTTCCATGAGAAAGTACTCTCTCTTTGAAGGCATGGCTCTGAAATGATCCCATAATGAGGAAATCGGGTGCAATGCCTGTACCATGTTTATAACTGATCTCAAAGAGCAGGCGAAAACATTTGTAGCCACAAGAACAAAGAATTTTTGCTTAACTTCTAATTACTTAATAAACCTCTGTTTATTTTATAATCCACCCCATCTATCCTTTTTAGAAGATACTTTCCCTTGGAATCTGGAAAGTATGCCTGTTGAAAGTTCTTCGGGTTAAGAATTAAATATCTTTGAGTTCAAAAGAGTAGATATAGAACAGAGAGATGTAAATTGAAATTTTTTAATTGCTCATTTCTTTATCTTTTTTTGGTTTATTTTATCGTTTGTTCTGGTCTTATAAAACTTTAATTGAATTGGGTATCTATTTAGATCATTACTGCCATCTATCATGTTAATAACATTCTGATAGAGAAAACAAAAATCCCTGCTTAACTGTTATTAAAAAAGGGTAGCATATAATACCTTTTAAGATATTTTGAGGGAAACAAATCAGTTTTGGTTATTATTATCTGTTCATTTTTGTGTGTGTCAAAATGAAGCCCAGGTCTTTTCTATGTTCAGACTGAGAACTAAGGAAGAAGTTTTTGATTTGATTATCTCATAGGTGTGTTTCTAATTGTAGAGCATCACTGCCTAATTTAGAAAATATTCTGATACTTATCTGTAATGGACCACATTCAGTGACATTTTTAGACATTAATTACTAACATACTGAATCAAAGTGCTTTTCATGCCTTGCTTTTAAGAAAAAGTCATTTTGTGATGGAATCACTTTAATCAATTATAGTGCAATAATGATGCAAGCATCTTTATGTAGTCATTAGTGCCAGAGCAAACTTGATTCCTATGGTGCTGATCATTAATGTATACAGTGTATACCTATTCATAGAAAATGGAATTCATTTTAAGTTGATCATCTAGCAAATGATTTACTCTCTATTACTATTACTAGTAGGACCATGATATTATATAGATATTATACAGATAAGTAAATCAATTGATTTATTTTTCTTTGTTTAGGACAAAACTTTTTAGAGAAAACACTGTCTAATGTGTAACTTTCATAATAAAGTAACTGGGTTTTCATGATAGCTTAGTATATCAAGGTTTTATTCCTTAAATTGATGAAAGTCTAAGTAAAAATCCATCAAATCTTATTTTGTTTAAAAACACATAACACTTTATAGAATTCATCTTTTCATAGGTGCTGTTTGTGAAATTGTCTAAGATAAGTTGAATTTCTCAGCAATATCAGTTTTACTTTCTACTTCACTGTTCCTTTTATGCTGTAAAGACCGAAAAACATAGAGAAGTGCTAGTTGTAATAATGTCCACCACAAAATCAAACTTTGTTTATATTTAGATTGAATATGAGACTCGAATGAAGAAGATGCAGCTACTCTCAAAAGATAGCCTGGGAGTAGAAGGTGAACTGAAAGATGAAGACAGAAGAAAGGTAATAAATTAAAATGATAAACTTCCCATTAACAGGATTTCTGGAGTGTTCATCTTTTTAAGATACTGTTTTTTTAATCTTACTACAAGATATTTTTTATTAAACCTGTGATTATTTAAAGGCTTTTACTTATTGAGTATTGCTTTAATGTCTAATTCAATTAAATTTGCTGTAAGGCAGTCACTGTGGGTGTAAGAGACAGATTCCAAAGAAAACCTCAGTGTTGTTTGTAGGTGAAATTGTTTTTCTAAATAATGCTTTGTTGCTGCCTTTTCTTTGTTCCAGAAATATTTTTAATGAAAAGTAAACAAAATGTGGCATCTTGCTTCTTTTCTTTATATATATAATTTTGTACATTTTAACCTTTTCACTTTCTACTTTCAGATAAAGTAGAAAGAAAGGATTGCATATCTAAGCAACAGACAAAAAGACTGGCAAGGAATACTTAAGTAAATTCTTCTATGTATCTGCCATAATGCAGGCTTCTAATCCTCCCGCCTATCTCCATATAAATGATTCTGTTCAAGACCATAGATGTTTTCTTCACTAAAAGCGGTAAAGCTCTTTTAGATGAAATGTCTAAAAACATCTTGTAATAACTTGGAGCATGCTGGCAAGAGTAGTCACTTGTGACTATGTGTGAAACCCCCTCAGCCAGTTGATATTGTAATAAGCAAAAATGGTAGCATCACTCCATTATTCAGAAAAGCCAACAGCGTGCTTGTTCCTTAGGCTGCAGCATTCATTAAGAAAAGCTTACTGGGCTGAAAGCTGGAAACAGATGATAACGGGATATGATTTTCATATTTAATGCTTTCCTTGGAAGAGTATGTGTGCTACAGATTGATAGAAGAATCAACTGCTACTTTACTAAAAGACTTTCAGGTTTGCCCTATAGCTACCGATGGAATCATTCAGCCAAGAAATTAACTTTTTCTCCTTTTACCTGCTTTATATATCTGCTAAGCAGGCTGCCTGGCTGCCAGCAAATGTTATTATTCAGTTAACTGTTTGGTATTTAAGACTCTTATCAGAAAAGAAACAGAGGCCACACTATTTTGTTTTTATAGTAGGAGGAAGGTTTTGGTTTTTCTTTTTTTCGTGCATTAGCAGACATTAATCTGAGTTTATAGGAAGTTTTATTTTTCCTTCCAAAAGGTTAAAAAGTTAAAAGATCTAGAGTTCAGAGCATTCTTTAAACTGTAAGATACAAAACATCAAGCCCCAGCAAACTTGACCTATGTAAAAAAAACCTTTCATGATAAATTATTTCTGTGCCATCACATGTATGCCTAATGTGATGTGATGTGATAGACTTATAAACCATTTAGGTAGTTTTTGTGTTTGACATTTGGTCATGAAATAATTGACATGTTTTTAATCTATAAATTGGTTTGTTCTTTCTATGCTGTTCCTGATAGACACATTCTTAGTATGGCAATGTCAGTGGTACTTAAGTATAATGGGAAACTTTTTTTTTCTATTTGCACTACTGATTCCTTACCTTACATACAGTTATGTAGTATCCTTTTAAGTCATAATTAAAATTAGGGCAAGAGACATACCACTGATAATTCCTTAAAATGTTACATACAATAATTAGAAGTTTCCCCTTTATACTGAAAAGTGTCATCTCCATAAAAACTTTGAGTGTTGACTATATGTAAGAATCAATTAGGTAACATTTTGAGAAATTAACATCTTGCCTTTTTCAATTTCCCATTGTTCTATCAGTTAAAATGTAAATACATTTTAGCAAAATCATGAATTAGTTAATTCATAGTAACTAATACTAAGTCTAGAAAAATTTCTTGTCATGTGAGTTATGTTTTACTTTTAGTAGATATCTATGCTCCTCTGCTTTAGGAGTGGTATGAATTAGTCTCTGTGCCCAAAGTCATTGGTCTCTAGGCACTAGCCTAAAGCACAGTACAGTCTCACTGGTTGAAGTTGTTGAGCAGTTCTTCTGTTTAAGAAGCCACAGTAGGCACCTACTATGAATGCCACAATGCTTGCCCTTGAGGTGCTTCTCACAAAGTGCTGTTCATTCTAAGGCATGGGGTAGTGTGTGATATGTGCCAGTTACATGGGGCAGACATGAGCTACATGGAGAAAGAAGGTGTGCCTCCTTTGAAATGAGTAATCCACGGCTTGTTGGAGGAGGTGGCATTTGAGCTGTCATGAGGGATGGGTACGATGTCAATCAGTGGTGATGTAGATATTCCAAGGATAGGAGATGTTGTGAGTAAAGTAGAAGTAAGAAAGCCCAGTGAGTAGTTGTCCAGTCTGGCTAAAGTCTGATGTTCTTGTAGGGAAGTGGTAGATAATGAGCTGGGAAAGGTACAACATGGAATCATACATATGTGTGGGGTGCAAGGGGAAATGAAGGCTTGTGAACTGAGCAGCTGCATTGCAGGTATGCACCTATAGGAAGATGAGACTGGCAGTGTTGTGCAGGATGAACTGGAAGAAGGAACTCATAGAGCTGAGGAAACCAGGGTCAGTTCAGACAGGAAGAATTAACCAAGGGCTTGAATCGGGGGTGGCCATTGAAGTGGAAAACACTAACGAAGGAGAGAAAACCTATCAAATTAATGATAATTTGGAATTATAAAAAGATATCTTAAAACAGTGGTTGTGCAACTTTCAACCATAAGCAGTAATTTGGATGCTCTATTAAGAAAAATCATGAAGTAGGAATTGTCTAGTTTTTTAATGTAAAACTCTAGCTCAGTTTTGTAATAACACATCCAATGTTTTCATGCATCCAGTGGCTGCTCTTCAGAGTCATGTGTTCTCTTAAAAGAATTAATCATTAGTCTGTTTATCCACTAAGCTTATTTCCAGTATTAGTTTACTTAGTAAATTTTTTTTGTTAATAGATAGCAAAACGACAATGTTCAGGCCCCATTTGATGCCTCACAAATTTTACTATAATTTAATAATCTTTCCCCTTTATAATACATTGTCATTTTTTAAAATTTTCAGGTAGTCTAATTCTGTTGGTATCTAGGTATGTTCTTCTAGTTGCTCAGTTTTTTTGTATCAGCAGTGACTACATCAAAACATGTATGCAAGAGAGATGGAAATGGTATTTGTTAATGAGAGTATAAATTTTGGGGTGAGGGCTGTGAAGTTTCTTTCAATTATTATACTGTGAAATGTCTTCTACTAAAAGCAGAAGTGAACTGATAGTTCACAGGAAGATTATAATCTACCAAGGTTGGAGAATGTGGAGGACCAGGGAATTTCATCACAGGGCCAAATGCTGGTTGGGGAGTCCCACTTCCACTGTTGTAAACCTTTCTGCGAGGGTCATATGGAGAATGGTCGTGCAGGTTGTTACTTCCATTTCTAATAATAATAGTAACAATGGGTAATGATCATTGCACACTTGTTCTGTGTCAGGTGCTGCATTAAGCTCTTTATATTCATTAACACATTTAATAGTCTCAACAATCCCGGAAGTAGAACTGTTTTTATCCTCATTTTATAGAAGTCTCAGAGAGGTTGATTAATTTGCCCAAGACTACACAGCTAGGCAGAGCCAAAATTCAAACCCAGACCATGTGGCTTTAGCATCCATGTTATTAGCCATCTTGGTACACTGACTTCTAAAGTCATATGGGTGAAATGCTCTTCAAAAGTTTGGAGAAATTCTGGTCAAATAAAAACAGTCTAGCCAACACCGTGTGAAATATTTCAGTTATTCATTTAGATGCTGCATTTTTACCTAAACTTGGGAGAGGGTGAAAAGGTCTCCCTTGATGCTAAAATATTCCAACTGAATCAGGTAAGCCTTGGAAGGCAGAGTATCTGTCTCTAAACTGTGCATGTTTTCAATAAAAGGATCTTCTGTTTGAGTTGGATGTGTTGGACCGAAGAAAAGCTCGACTGAAGAAGAACTTCAAAAGAGAAGATAAATGTGCACCTAGTGTGCAGTGGCTTCAGCTATAGGTTTGAGCTGTGTCAGAAAAGGTGGTGGAGCTGTGACTGGGAGGAAGCCACTGCAGGAGAGGCACTAGATAAAAAAGAAGGCACCCAAGTGTTACATGGTGGGAAGGATTCCATTCCTAAGAGGACGAACTGTGGCTCCCAGGAGCTGAGCAGTATTCATAAGACAAAGGCAGCTACTAGAGGGCCCAGGTTCATGTCCAAGAGGTGAAGCAAACAATGGCGTTGAAGGGACACGTGATTGAAATAAACATCTTGATAAGGAGAAATAAGTCAAAAGGCTATCCTAAACTGCCCATATTTAAAGAGGAAATGACTTAGGTTGGAATCCCCCAGAAGTAAATCCTGAGACAATGATTTGAATGTAACTAGTTTATTTGGGAAGTGGTCCCAGGAAGCCAGATAGAGGAGAAAGAGAAGTGACATAGCCATTAAAGAGTGTGACTAAGTTGCCACTGTGAGCAGCCAGAATTCAGTCTAGTTGGTGAACCTTGGAAGACTATGTAGAACATGCCTCAGAGTTATCACACATAGGGATAGGGAAAGGAAGTGTTTATCCTTTACCTCCCATCTGCCACTGACTGAGTGTTGCACCTGGCCCCACGTCTGGACGCTGTACTCAGATCAAGAGGCACAGGTGCTTGCAAGAGGACATCGTAGGCATGGACTGAGATGGTGAGGGCCCCAGGGATTTGAGCCTGGCCCTGTCACACCTGCTACAAGAAAGAACAGTAGGGAAGGGGGGAGGGGATTAGGTTATTACTTAAAGTTATCTATATAAGCTCCAATTTCTTATCCTTACTGGCCCACAGTGCTTCCTTTATCAACAATCTCCTTTAATCACTGCTCAATTATAAACAGTGAAAGAATCTCCTCAAATTGGGGCTCTGAGCAGTTGCCTAAGTTTCTAATACTGAGCTTTCTGTACCTTCATGGGAATGGTGACCCCTCAGCTCTTCCATCCTCAAAATTGTGATTTCATTTGACCTAGAGCGATGACAAGTCAAAAGGTAGTCTCTTTGGGTTCACCTGGACCTCTTTGTATC